TAATCCATCATGCTTTCAAAATCCTTGTCGTTAGCTAATACGTTTTTGACTTTTATATCAAAATCTTCACAGTGATCTCCATATATACTAAAAAATAGAGAATCCGTATCTGTTGCAACAAGCTGACAAAAAATGTTCTCTTTCAGCAGAGCTCTTTTAATAACGCTTGCAAAAACAGTAACACTTTTTTTAGCGTGTCCTAAAATGCCACAAGCTACTAAGCGCAAGCTATCGTTTAAAACATTTCTTTTTGTGGTGATCAAACAGAATGCTTCGTTTATTTTTTCGTTTCTCAGAGCGATTGACATTGCTTCAAACTCGTTTATTGTTTTATCAGGTGAATACACACTTTTTGTATCAAAATGAAATATTTCAGTCAATATTAAATGCTTATAAACACTTGAATAAGAATCAATTCCATCGCGACGCATTCGTTTATCACTTAAATCAATGCATATTTGCTCTACATCGTGCACGTCTAAAAGAGTTGTTAAACTGGCAGGCAAATAGCTTTCAATTTCGAATATACCGTTTTCTTTTAAATAATTTACTGCTTCAATTATAATTTGCAAACTTTTTCTCAGACACTTTTGCTTGTTCACTATAAACTTGCAATTTTTATACGTTTCGCTCTTTCTCGCTGTCCAGCCATAATGCCCGTTAATCATCAATTTAAAAGATCCGTCTTTTACTTTATCACCGACAGCGTTTGCTTCAGCTCTCTTTTTCGATAAACTGCTCACAAATTCTTTTGCTAAATTATAACGAACAACACCTACAACGGCTAGTATTTTAACTATAATAACATGTTCATGTTTATTCATCCATAGATGACGATCCAAAGATTCGACAGTTTTGTGCTCGTCTAATTTGTACACGAGTCTTTCGCCTTTATTGACCGCTATTTGAAAAGAATTGGAGCGAGTGTCCCATTTTCGTTTGTCTAAAATTTCGCTCGGCGACAGATCGCATATCGAAATGCTGTCGCGTTTAATGCAAGGCGAAATACCGCCAGTGAGCCAGTGATAACGATCGTCAATTTTGATAACGCATCTTACAAGTGCGCTTTTAACAAACGAACCATCACTTTCGCCACCATAAACATCAAATACTTCTTGCAACGTTATATATTCGATAAAACTACGCATAGCAAACGGTAGAAGCAGTACTTGGGCGCCAGCATACTGACCATTTTCATCCATTATCAAAATTTTATTCGACACATTAGGTTGTTCATTGAAAACATTTTCATAATACGAAGTGTCTAAGGCGACGCTCTGTGTGCCGTTTGTAGACATACCTCCTTTCATGCATTCTTCAATCATACGATGATGTTCTTTAGAAGGAGGATGCTGAATGGCGATATTGCCAATATACGAATTCATTTTACTTGAAAAGGAAAAAGAAGAAAGTTGCGAGATGGCATGAAAATGAAGTTCGTTGTAAATTTTATTGTCAAAATCATATAAAACAAATGCCAAAGCGATCGTGTCAATGAAATTATAAACTTCCAACAAAGTAGAGTATTTTTTCAAATCTAACATTTTCCACATGGCTAACACGTTTTCATAAGGTTCTTTTAGCGCGACACGTTCATCTTCTTCGTTTTTACTTCGACTCAATTTGTTGTGTAAAAAATCTTCGATAGGCGGGCAACACGGGTTACCGTCAACGTCGACGAGCGGCTCTTCCAAACTTTCATAACTAATTTTAGAGTAAAGAAAGCAACTTTTTCCTGTAAAAAACTGAGTTCCTTCGACATTGCTAATCAAGTCAGCTCCTCGTTGATGCGAAACGATTTTTGTTTTAATCAAACAATGTATAACCGACAAACGTACTTGTTCTTTAGTTTTTGTGTCTAAATTATGAGTAGCATCTGCTAGCGAAGTGTTTGTAATACGATAACTGTCTTTAAACACACAAAAATCCCCAAACGATAACGATTTAATCTTGCTCATGTTGTCAGTAATAAAAAAAGAATTTTTTAACGACAGTCGTTTGACGATGTTATCGAAATCGCCTAAATCAGGATCGTCTTTATGTGACCACGGAAAGCTGCAAAATTCTTCAAAGTGCTTATTAATCATTACGTTGTGATCGAAAGGAGCATTGTGCGAAAAAATGTCCACGCGAGGTTTTTCAACTCTGCCATATTGTACATTGCAATACGAATGCGCCAAGCCCAATACGGAACCAGTCCAATGGTCGTGATCGATAACTGCATGATCGATATAGCGATACACGAGAGATTGCAAATATGTTTCTAGGGTTGCTTAATTATTGTTGACATATTCGCTCGGAGTTTCTTCAGACATACTTAAACATCCTGCCACTAGACAATGGTCCCATACTTGTCCCAATTTACTAACGCTACTCGTAAAATCAAAATACTTTAAAACGACTGAATAGTCTGTATAGAGACAATTGATTTTGCCTACTAGAAACAAAATTTCATTATAAAAAAAGTACGAATCGGATAACATGTCTTCAAACGTTTCTTCCTCTAATTCAAATCTTCTTCGAACTGTATTGACTATTGCTAATAGTGTATCATTGCTGACCATCAAATATTCACACAAACTTCCATTTTGAACATGACACAATACGCGACTTTCAAACAAATAAAAACATGCAAAAATGCGAAAAAGATAAAGCAAATGCTTTTCGATATTCTCTTTGCTTGTTACTTGCAAATAGTTTGAACTAAAACGACTAAGAGTGAAATGATTCATTTTGCTAATATTACCGAACAAAATGTAAACGACAGGAGCATGATAAGCGTCTTCGCATTGGTACACGTTATGATTGCTTGACAAAATGGTTTTTTCATAAACGCGTTTGTCCACACTCAGTTTACATATGGTACATTTCGAAAGCTCTTCATCAAACAATTGTTGTCTTTCGTTCTGCGAAATACGAAGCAATTGATTTTCTTTTAACTTTTCTTGCATTAAAGAAATAACGACATAACATATAGCGAAAAGATCAAAAACACGTAAACTCACCAAGTCCGACACATCTTCAACTTTTTGCCAACGTTTTAAACGAACTACCTCTAATAACGGATTCACGTGTTGACGAAGAGACCAAGGCAACTTTTGAAACAAAAATTCCATACTCTTTTTCGTATTTAAAAAAAACATGCTTGATTCTCTTAAAACGTTGCCTTGAGTATCGTAACCAAAAATTTCAGCACTCAACTTTTCATTCGTACAAAAAAGAGTCACACTGTGACAATAATAAAATAATTGTCCGTCGCGTGTTTCAGTTTCACAATCAAACGTGATATACAAAGGAAAACAGTTGCGAGATTGATGGAAAAGAACTTGTTGAGGTTCGTAAAAACGCTTTTTTAGCGGATAAACAAGTTTGGTTTCTTTATAAAATCCTGCACATGTTCGATGCGCACTATGTCTATCATAACAATTTTGACAAAAATCATATACATTACCCTGAAAGGCATTTTCAAATCGATATTGAAAGCGTTTAGTTAGTAAGGAAACACAATGCGTGCCTTTTTTGTTATCTAGCAACATTAATTGAATAGTATTTTGTTGTTTTAAATTTTCGTTACTTTCTACTCGCTCTATTTCGTTTGCAAACACACGATGTGGATTATGATCATCGCGAAAGATGTTTTTACTTTCATAAAGTTTTGTAAAGCGTTTATAGGCTACACGTTGAAAACGATTTCTTTTCTCAAATTTTAAATGAACTCTCACCGGTTTAGGTAACCACTTGAAAATGACCAAGTTAAATTTGTTTAAAACCAATCGTTCACTTATTTCATCTAAAAGAATAGATAAACCTTCATAACTTATATTAAAACTTCTTATTTTTAACCATTCCAGTTGTTCTTTTGTGTCTAGGCAATCGTTTGTTGCATATTCTATAAGTCGTTCTTCATCTAATCTTTCCTGCCAATCGTTAGGGGAAAACCATTGCTTCTTAATTTGCACCAACGATACTAAAAAACTCATATAGAAACAATTACCTTTTTCTACCATATACGAATAGTCGATACATGTCTTTCTCAATTCAAATTTATTAATGTACGACGGACAAAAACGAAACAATTCTGCTTGATTTTTCTTTTTTAGAAAACGACTTACAAAGGCAAGCGATCGTCGACTTAACGGATCATCTTCATATTGTTTTTGGATGGGATCATCTTGTATTCGTTTGAGATATTGTTGAACCATTTTTAAATTACGTTTTGATAACGGATTGTCACACAAAGCTTTGTTTCGATAATCATACTTTTTTATTTTATACAAAAGGGTATCGCGCGCGCCAATAATGGAATTTCTTAACAAGACAAAACGTTCAGTACTCATTCCATCGATGATTTGCGCTTGAAATTGGGATAAATTATACAAAACCAAATCCGCTGTCTATATGAGAAACGTGACGACTCCCTTCTACATTAACATGCACAAGTTCTTCAATTTTTTTAGAAATTTCCATTGTTCGAACATAATGCACTGGAGATCTAAATATTGATTTTACAAGACGATATCCGTCCGGTTCTGACCGATAAAACATGACCACTGACACAAAACTAACTAAAAAATTCCGACTTTCCGGCATCTGTCTCTTAGTTCTGCTCATTTCTTTAAGAATAACATCTCTTGTTTTGTTTTCGATAAACACACGGACGTCGTCCCACGTCATTTGATCAGAAACAATTAAATCATCGAGGCCGCTTTCATCCGAATAACGTTTCGATGTCCATAAAAATTTTTTATAATAAACATCATTATTGTATTTTTCTTTGCTGATTTCTTTTTTAAATTTCATTTTTTACTCTAAAAAAAATTTTTTTTTATTGAACAAATATATATAAAAAAAAAAACTTATTTTTCTCACTAAGTAAACCAATTTATTTCAATCTTAATAATCATTATAAAAATTTTTTTTTTAAAAAAAAATTCTTACATGTTTTTTTCTTCTGTAATAAACTTTTTTTTACAATGTATTTTTTATTGTTTTTTATACAATTATATTCTTTGCATACAGTCAGTTGAACCGAATCCACCAATTCCTCTTCCTGTGCTTGTTAACTCCTCTTCTGGAACAACAATGAAAAGTTGTGGCGAAAAACATTGCAAAAATACTAATTGAGCTATAGCTAAATCTGTTTTAATTACAAACTCACGGTCGTTATTGTTCTTTAACAAAACACAAATTTCTCCGTGATAATCGCTATCAATAACGCCACCTTCTACTGTTATATTTTAAGCAGCTAATGACGATCTCGATAACAATTGTCTATAATACCCGTCAGGAATTTGCATTCGAATACCAGTAGGCACTTTAACAGTTGCTCGCTTTAATAAATACACGTCTTCCATAGCAAAAATGTCAAACCCAGCGCTACCTTGTGTAGCTCGAATTGGCATTTTTGCCAATCCTTTTAATGACATAAACATTTTTTTAGTTTTTTTTTCTCTAAAAAAAATTTTTTTTTAATTAACAAAAAAAGTTATATTTTATATATGGTTTTTTTTGTTAAAAAAAGTTATATTTGATAATACAAAAAAAAAAAGAAGTTTAATAAAAAATTTTTTTTTTTATTAAACATACATATAACGTAGGTTAGGCATATTTAAAATAACAGTCAAAGATATATCTTTACAGCTTCGTAATCTACAATGTTTGTTATGATGTTTTGTATCTTCTATTTGCACTTTTATTTCTATTTGACAATCGTCAAGGTAACAATTACCACGCACTAAAAAATTATTAAATAATTCAATCATATTATAATGAAAGCGCTGTTCTTCCAAATCTACAAAACTACTTGTTAATAACTCATAATGGGATTTTTTTTTAAATAAATTTGCTGCAGATAAATGTAACGAAATATCAACCATAACTTTTTATATTTGTAATACGCTGTTGGATTCACATAAAATGCATGTCGATGCGAAAACACTTTGAAAGCTTTTTGTAATTTTGTGAAAATCGAATGGTTTAATGATTCCCAAGTGGGTGCAAATAAATTAGTTAAAGTAAAATACGGACTCGGTGCTCTCACTTTTTCCAAACTGCAATCTAACTGTTCAACATCTTCGTAACTCATTTTTCCGTACAAAAAATACTTCAAAATACGACATTGTTTTAACAAAGATAGTGATATATGTAGAACATAGTCTTCCATGTAACTATGTGCCTCTATCTCTGCATTTCGTTCGCAAGTTATCAATTGTTTTACATAGATCCAGTCCTCATGAATATCGCGTATATCATGAATGTCCATATCGTGTCGACAATTCAATATAAAATCTTTTATAAAATCCTGCACATCAACTGCATACCTCCATTCTTGACACACATTCAAACAACGTTTTAAAAGTATTTGCTTAAACACACTAATCGACTGACTTTTTACTTGAAACATTATTTTTTTTTTTAAACTAAAAAAATGAATAATCTTTTTTTCTTTTTTTCAATTCCAATTCGCTTATCGTTTTATTATTTTCCAAATTGTTTTTATTCTCCAAATGTGTTTTTCCGTATCGAAAGCCAGTAAAAGGTTGAGTATATCTTTTTGTTATTCCTGCTTCGTCAATAACATAAAATGATATTATTTTTTCTCTTGCAGACATTTTTTATCTTTAATAAATAAGTGAAAAACATATTTTTTTATAAAAAAATGAAAAAAAAATTATTTTATTTTATTGTAATAAATAAAAAAATGTAATAAAAAACGTATTAAATAAAGAAACTAATGTTATAAATTTATTAAAAAAAAATAGTAATATATATTAAAAAAAAAAATAAAAAAAATACAATTTTTTTTTTTTTTTTTTTTTTTTTCATAATAACATAAACAAACAAAAAAATAATTATATTTTTGCAATGCATTTTTTGCTGTTTTTGTAATGCTTACATCGTGAGCTTTTTCAATTGTTTTTAAAGCAAAACCCATCGCCTCTTGAGAAACAACTCTCCAATCCGTCGGTGTTACAATTTTATAAGTCACGTCTTGAATGCCTAATTTATATTGTTGCACTACCTCAAAAATAGGCTTTGAATGTAACTGCCCATCAATATACGTTTCCCATTCCTCGTTTAACAAATTTCGAGTATAAAAAGAACATTTTCTTTCGCTGTCATAATTACTTCGTTTGTCTATCATATACTTTGAAAAAGCAAAATGCCTCTCCTGTTCTGATAACTGAATTTCATGAACAAACTTCAACATCTTTTTGACTAGTCTTGCATTTTTTCTACTTCTTATTAAATTATACTCAATAACACACTTATCAATACAATTATCACATACATGTTGCGGTTTTTCAATTTTTTCATCTACCAACAAATCCATTAGATTTTTACCTAAACACTTTTTCCGTTTGTCTTTACTTTTAAAGGATTTGTACACGTCATTTGAGGTTTCATTTAAAGGATTTTTACACATCAGCTGAGGTTTCATTTTTTGTTTTACTTACAAAAAAATATATATTTAAAATGTATAAAAATATATTTTTTATGCATAAAACATAAAAAACAAAATAATATTTGCAATACTTAAAAATTATTTAAACTTATTTTTTTAAGAGAAACAATAATATATATTAGCAATAACAAAAAAGATTAGCAAATAAAAAAAAACTTGCTATTTTTTTCAAGGCTTCTTAAAAAAAAAAAAACGCTTTATTGTTCAAAAACAAACAAACAAAAATTAAAAAAATAATATTAAAAAAACTTTTTTTTATTTAATAAAAAAAAAACAAATATACTTTTTAAAAAATAGTTTTTTTTAATAAAAACTAGTTACACTAATTATCTTCGTCATCGGATACAATTTTTTGTTTTCTTGGTTTTTTTGTTGGAGGCTCTTCGTTTAACGAAACCGCTATTTGATTCATAACTGCATTTGCATTTTTTACTTTTTCATCAATAATGACACACTCCATCTCAGTCGAGTTGGCGGTTTCATATTCAATGATAAAAAATGATAAAAATGCATCTGCTCCAGATTTCCTGTCTCTATATTTAAATAGTCCTCGCTTGTTTTCAATTGTACACCTTTAAGTACAAAGTACTCACCATAAACTTCATTTTGATATTTGCGCAGTTCCGGCAAAAATAAACTAATGTTTTTAGCATTTACTTTTTTTTTCAAATCCATGCGAAAAAATTGATCTCTTACCACAAAAACCGTTTCTCCTTTTTTATTAACGCGAGTCACGTTAGGATAATGTGCACGTAAAAAAAACTGTCCCACCAGTGAATTGTTTATCAGTTTAACTTGACTAGGATTAACCAATATGCGCTTGTTGAAGTCGCTGTTATCACAAAATATCCATGTCTTTTTCATCTGGTCATACTGACATACAAGACGCACTGTTGCTAAAAAATAGGTGGACATGTTCTTAAAGTCAACATCTGAAAATTGATAAATACCAGGAGCATAGCAATCGCTCGTAATAAATTTCGCTGTCTTTCCAGTCAGCTCAAAACCTTGTATTTTTTCGTTTTCCATTTTTTTTTGAACACCTCTGAGTTTTTTGCTTCAAATGTTTTTTTTGATTTTTACTGTCAAAAGTGACCCTTTTTATATGTTTTTTTTAAATCAATAACGCCAATTTTTTGTCAACATTAATTTTTTTATCTCACCGTACTTTTTTTAAAACAATATTATCTCTCAGTTGTTTTTAAAAAAATTCATTCATTTTGTAACATAACTCCTGTGTCAGTTGACTATTTTTCGTCAGTTGACTATTTTTGACTATTTTTATTTCGAAATTATAGTCTCAACACTTGACTTTCATTTTCATAACTCTTATTAATCTCGCCGTTTTTTCTCTACAAAAATATTATCACACAGTCGCTTTTAAAAACTTTTAAAAAACTCAAGCCATGTCAGATGACTATCATTTATTTTTTCTACTTTCATCTTTACGACATCCATATTTTAAAAATGTAAAAAGTTTGCCAGTTTTTTTCTCATAACAGTGACTTTTGCTTATATAAACATTTTTGTTTAACTTGCAAAAGTAAACATGTAAGCGAAAATTGTTGCGGCTTGTGTTTTTTTAAAAAATTTTTTATTTGCTCGCCTTCTTAAGTATTTACGTTATTGATTCCTATAAAAAACAACAAAATTTTAAAAAAAACATAAACAAAGGGGGTAAAAAATGAACGAAGATCAAGAAAAAGCTTATGTTGCACTGTTAAACAACCAAAATGTTTTTCTAACAGGAAAGGCTGGCACAGGAAAATCATTTACAATCAATATCATCTACGAACGTTTTATAAAATAAAAAAAAAACATATGTATAACGGCAAGTACGGCTATCGCTGCGCAAATGTATTCCGATGCAAGCACTGTTCACTCGTTTGCTGGCCTCGGCTATCGTCTAGAATCCGTAGAAACCATTTTGAAAAATATGACTGACGTCGTCAAAAAACGTTTAAAAAATGTTCAAATTTTGGTTATAGACGAAATATCAATGTTACCAGTACACATACTAAAAACATTAAATATGATTTTATAAAACATTAAAAAATCACATCGTCTATTTGGAGGATGCGTGCTGCTCGTTGCCGGAGATTTTTACCAGCTGACGCCTGTTCGCGAAGAAACATTGTTATTCGAAGACCCTTTCTGGAAAGAATGCGAATTTGTTAATGTAGAACTTGTGAAAAACTTTAGACAAAACAAAAACCTCACCTTTCAAACGCATTTGAACAACGTGCGTGAGGGCATCTTTTGCGAATCCACTTTGGCTTTTTTTAGGAAAAGGCTAGAACCTGCTGATAAACATTTAGATCCGAGTTACACAAGATTGTTTATGTTTAACAAGGATCGAATTGCACACAACGAGGAATATTTAAAAAAATCAAATTCACCATATTTTATATTTAACAGTGAAATAAAAACATTTAAGAATTTTAAAATCAACTAAAAATGGCCATTTAAAACGCCTTAAAAATGTAACTTTAAAAAAAGGAGTACAAGTTATTTGTGTTCGCAATATATCCGAGCTTGGTATTGTCAACGGCACGCAAGGCGTTGTAAAGTCAGTGAACCTAGAGCGAGTTGTCATTATGGTAGACGAACAACGAATTGTAATCACACCTCAAACAGAAATGCTGTACGACTGTAAAAGAAATGTAATAGCCGAATGCAAAGGAATGCCGCTTGTGTTAGCCTATGCGCTCACTATTCACAAAGTACAAGGTCTCACTCTTTCTAATGTAGTTATTCATTTAACGAGAAGTCAATTTACGTGGCATTTGTTTTACGTGGCTTTGTCGAGAGCGCAAACACGCAAGAGTGTATACATTATTGCTCAGCCGCCTTGTTTTCAAACCTTTTTAAAAAATATTAACATACATTCAGCTGTAAAAAGTTTTTATTCAAATTTAATTAAACCTACGCCTGAAGAAAATGATTATAAAAAACGTATTAAACTAC